TTTCACCTTGTGCTCCCTTCTAGATGGTGGGGTCTCCCCACGTGCCTGGTGAGAGACTGGACAAGGGCCAGAGGTCTGTGGATGTCCACTTGCCCTCTGGAGGTGCCTGGAGAGTTTAGCAAACACCCCTGTCGCATGTCCCTATGACAGACACTGGAGAATGACGGGCTGGAATGATTCACTTCATACTGTGTTTTAGCAGCAGGCGTCTAATATGGTCTTTCTCTTAGTAATACCAACACTGCGTTGATGCAGTTTTTCCATTGTAAAGATGTAACTGATAATCTGTAGGTTCAAACTGTATAAATACCTATTTTACTGTCATCATTTGAAAATCTTTGCCTGAATCAGTTACATTATTAGGGATTTCAAAATGGGGATTTCACTTGAATGTTCCTCCTCCTTTCATAAATTAGATTCCTCTGTAAAGAAGAGCTTTCCTTCATCGTCTACTGCTGTCTGGTTATCCTGCAGTAGCATTATTGTTGAAAAGAAGAGAACATGCTTAGTTCTTTCTCTTTGTTATTTTTTATTGGCTATTATGGCAAATGAGGTGTTTCAAAAATTCTTCTCTTCCTGGCAATCACTATGGACTTAAGAATTTGTTAATGTTTCAATTACACTCTTGTTCTCTTTGATTCTCAAATTGTTCTAAATTTGGCCTATGGGCACTAGGATTTGAAAGCTGAAAGGAATCTTAGAAATCAGCTAATCCGTATCTATGACTTCGCAGGTGCTTTAGTTGTAAAGGATCTGCCTGCCAGTGCAAGAGACACGGGTTTGATCCCTGGGTTGGGAAGATCCTGTGGAGAGGGAAATGACAACCCATTGCAGTATTCTTGCCTGGAAAATCCCGTGGACAGAGGAGCCTGGCAGATTACAGTCCATGGGGTCGCAAAGGGCCAGAAATGACTGAGTGACTAAACAACAAGGAATCTTAGAAATCAGCAAATCTAGAGCTCCAAGCTTTATACCGAGGAAACTGAAGCTCAGAAGTTTGTTACGCTCTGTTGTGTCACAGGTGGTCATTGGCAGACCAGGGGTGAGGATGCAGATCTCTGGAGTCCTCAGCGCTTTCCTCACCGAGTGAAGCTCTGCAGTAGAAGCTTGCTTTCATGTTCTTGCTAATAATATTACTCAAAATGACAGAAAATGGCCCACATGTTTTCAGTCACACTTTTTTATTAAAAGTTATTGTCTAGTCTGGTGGGTCCCAAGTTGAATGGATATTTATCTGCATTGTTTAGAAAGAGCAAAGAAGCACTGTTGTAGTCTCAGCATTGAGCCAGTCTGAGAAGTGAGTTTGACTTGGACAATTTGGTGTCCGCAGGTTGAACTTGTCTTACAGTCACATTTTATTTGATCTACATAGAATTTTGGAAACTTGCAATTCATTGCCTATATATATATATGTGTGTGTGTGTATATATATATATATAAAATACTGATTTCATATACAAATTTAAGTTGTCAGTTTCACTAAAATATTCAGTTGGAATTGAAAATATTCAGTTGGAGTTGAAAAGCTTTATAAATGTGCATGGCCCTCCACCTCCCCTCCTGGCCACTCCCTGCTGTATCCTGTATATATTTTTGTCTGATGTTGTGCTGCTTTCCCGCCTCATTCTGTAAGCATTTGGGTTAGATAGTTGGAAGCAAGGAATTCTAGGAAGATTTCTTGAATATAGTCACAGGTTGAAGGTAGTAATATGAAGGTAGACACATGAACAGCAAGAAAATGGTAGAGTTGATAGTTTTTTTTTGCTGGTAGTATGAGATCTTCAACGGCTAAATCACAAAGTAAAACCAATGATGACAAGAAGTCAGCTAGAAATTTTTGAAATTTTCAAGGAGATAGTTTGAAATGTTGCTTTCCTTCTAGTCATTAATTATGAACCTCATGTTAGGTGTTGAATAGGCTCATGCACCTGATCAGAAAGATCCCCTGGAGAAGGGAATGGTAACCCACTGCAGTATTGCCTGGGAAATCCCAGGGACAGAGGAGTCTGGTGGGCTATGGTCCATGGGGTTGCAAAGAGCAACTGAAAACACACATGCATAAATAATTTATATTATGATGAATCCTATGAAATTTTCATGTATCAAAAATGGTCAAATATTAGCAATTTGATACAGTTCAACCAAAAGAAAAAAGTTACATGTATATGGAGTGAGTGCCCTAAATCATCCTTCCATTGGTACATTACCCAAGCAAGTTTGAAGCCTGCTGAGGTAGGAGAGGCTTATTCTTAGAAGGATCATAGAAAATGGTTAGTGAATAAAGCTGTGTATACATTAAAATTACGATGATGAGAAAGTACTGCTTGGGTAGTAGAAATGACAGTGGACAGAGAGAGGACGGGGCTGGATCGCAGGTGCTGAGTTCTTTAGAGGAATCTAAGAGTGGGTCCAGTAAGTATAAAAACTTCATCAAAAGCCTAATATAAATTGTTTTAATTATCTTCAGTGTTTCTTACCACAAATATATGGATAGCTAAGAGTTAAATATTGATATTTTATTATCTTGCAGCCACAGAAACTCAAGTTTATTTGATCACATCATTCCAGTATACTCACTAGGGTGCTTTGAAGGCAATTTTACCAAATACAGAGAGCTAAATATAAATTTATTGCCTCTATCTGAATTTTATGTCAGTGTATTTCAAATTGAATTGCAGCCCATTGGTGTGTTGTGAAATTAATTTGATTATTCACTTCTGTCAAAACTAGTGTTTTTTTCAAAAGTGAAGTAAAATTGAGTAGAAAATATGAAATACATTGTACAGAGTAAGGGCAGTGTTATTTCAAGAAGTTTACATTTTAGTTTTTAAAGTGTGTGTTTGTGTGTACAGTTGACCTTTGAACAACGTGGGAGTTAATCACACATAAAATATAGTTGGCCCTCCACATCTGCAGTTCTTCCACACCTGTGGATTCAACCAACCAGGATGATGTGATTAAAATATCCATGTTTAAGTGGACCCATGCAGTTCAAACTGTGTTAAGGGTCAGCTGTGTATATGTGAATATACTAGAATGAGATGCAGAATGTCTTTCTTGGCTTGAGTAAAAAATTTGAAAGCCATGTTTATTATAGTTTGGTAGTTTGATTTTATGACAAAGTGATTGCTCACTATTAGTAGCAAAGCTTTAAACTCGCATTCCTGATTCTTAATTTGAGTTTTCAAAGCTTAAGAACTTTAGTATAATCTTACTAGGTGTGCATCTAAGCAGGTGTTTTCCCCCCAACCCCAGTCATTTACTTGGGTTTCTGTCTCTTTTCAGGCGTTTGAACTCTGCTTAATTGCTCGACACACTTTTCTGTTTTCTGTAGATTTGTGCCATGGAGGGGAACTGACTGGCATGGGTACATCTCTTCGGAAAGAGTGTCCTCAGATGGTTTTCTTCTGCAGCAGTTGCTGAAGGCTAAATATAGGACGAAGTGGAGTGAAAAGTTGAACTATATATGCATTAATACCAAATCCTCAACTTTGTTGCCCAAAGCACACCTTAATACTTGGTTTCTGTCTTCAAGGTTGGCTGAAATAGCCAAATAGCAGTCTGCCTGTTGGTGTGCTTGTTTTTGGTTTATTTAGGGCTATAGTTTTGATTTCAGGAGTCTTTCTAGCGTTTTCTGCCTCCTAGTTAAAATTCAGCAGTAGATCTCCCAGACTCTGCTGTTGCTTGTCACCTCTCAGAGCCTCTCTCCTTTGTCAGGTGAGGGCCTGGGTGGTTGTCGCTGGTCAGTCGCTCAGTCGTGTCTGACTTTTTGCTGCCTCGTGCGCTGCAGCCCGCCAGGCCCCTCTGCCCGTGGGACTCTCCAGGCAGGAATACTAGAGTGGGTTGCCATTTTCTTCTCCAGGGGATCTTCCAGACCCAGGGATTGAACTCCCGCCTCCTGCATTGGCAGGCAGATTCTTCACCACTGAGCCACCAGGGAACTGGGTTAGCTAGTTGTACTTCCTTTAAGCTCTAACACTTAACTGTTGCCAGGAGTTGGGTTTTGCTGTTGTTCATTCAGTCATTTGTAGTCCTTGAGACACTATTTTGGTGGCTCCCCCACTTAACAGTGTTCATGAGGAGTTCCGCCGTGTCCATACGGAGGCGAGGGTTCCACTGTAGGGTAGTCATGGAAGGTCTGGGGGAGGCTCACGAGGACACGCGGGGTCCGTGTCTGCTCTGCACCGTGTCTGTGGCACGCTTGGCTGGACAAGCATGACCCCGCCCCCAGTACCTCCAGCCCCTGCTTGACTGCCTCAGCTGTGAAGGCAGCTTTGCTCACCATCCACCCTGCCTCACAGATGCCTCCTTGTTGGGGCCACTCCTGGTTTCACCAGCGGTTCTTACCTGGGAATTTGTGTATACACAGCTTCCAACATGCCACTCCCAGAGATTCTGATTTTAATAAGCTCAGGATTCTGAACTTGAAACAAGCGACCCTGCTGAATGAATCTCTTGACGGTGATTCAGAGCTCGTCTTTGGAGAAGCCCGGGTTCATGGAGTGCCTCCTTGGTTGGTTGAAGGATTGGCAGGAGAATTTAAGCTTTATTTATGAACAGTCTTCCTTTGAGAATGGCAAGCCTACTTCTTTCTGTTCATAATTGGGATGAATTTATGGCTTTTATGGAAATGAGGTGATTTTCTGCCTGGTAGGCTTGTCTCTCAAGTTCGGCAAGACTCTGCTTCTCATGGCTGCAGAAGTTTGAAACATTAAAGTATGATGTTCAGAGTCTTGTCAGAATGTAAATGTTGAGCAATTTAACCCTTTTGTGTTGGCTGCTGTGTTGTGGTTTCATGCTCTTTGGCTAAAAATAGATTAAGTTGGATTTTAGATAATGTAAATATTTTCTGTTGGGTAAATTACTTAATATTTTAAATGTGTTTCAATCATTGGGCAGGAAGATTTAGAGAAAAAATTTTTCCAGAAGAGAAATAATAGTTTATTTTTGTATCGTGATTATTGTACTAATTCATTTTCCATATAATCATTACTACTCAGGGTGAAAAGTTTGGACCATTTGCTGGAGAGAAGAGAATGCCTGAAGATTTGGATGAAAATATGGATTACAGGTTGATGTGGGAGGTGAGAATGTGATTATATTGAAATATTTAAAATATGTTTCTCTATATATGAATATTTAATTTATATTTAATACATATAATTTATATTATATATTTTTATAATATAAATATTTAAATATAATTTATATTTAATATTAATGTAAATGAATATTTAACTCATTTATAAGGCTAAGTTAATAGATATTGATACTAGTTGACTATTTAAGCATTGAATGTTTTAATTTTAAGGAACCCAAGTACCTTGAGAGTTTAACATTTAAAAAAAAAACTGTTGAAATATATAACTAGATAATTATTCTATAACTCTGGATCAGTTTATATATTTCATCATTAAAAATATTTAATTAATTAATTAATTTGTTTGACTTTACCAGTTCTTATTTGTAGCACGTGAGATCTTCGGTCTCTGCTGTGGCATGTGGGTTTTTTTCATGCTGCATGTGAACTCTTAGTTGTGGCATGTGGGATCCAGTTCCCTGACTAGGGATTGAACCTGGGGCCCCTGCACTGGGAGCCACCGGACCACCAGGAAAGTCACTGTACTTCATCATTAAAAATAAGTCATTCATGAATAAGGATGTTTGGATTTCAAAATAAGCATATTCTTGTTATGGATTTAGAATTTGATTTCTGAAAATGAAATTATACTTTTTGTTTAACTTTTATTTCCCAATTGCAGTTCTAATTGCACAGAAACATTTCTGAGCTTTATATTGGAACAAAAATCCCAGCTTAAAATGTACCTTACTTCTAAAAACATACATTTAAAGAACTATGACACTGTAGATAGTCTTTTGCAATCTAAAGTCTCTCTAATGCAGGAATTTATATATGCAAATGCACATATGTATATATTATGTGTATATTTGGAGAATTTTGATCCTAGCTTATGCCACTTACTTTCATTACTGTTGTTTTCTAATCTTTAGAAAAAAAAGGGCCTAGAGGGTAGAAATAGAAAAACAGAGGTGTGGATATTGTTCAATAATAAGCTGGAAAAGGAAACTCAGTCCCAAGAATTTTATTTGGTGGGTTCCATGAGGAGGGTGGGAGCTGAGATATGTGTGGATGGGGCTGAGAGAAGTAGGATCATTAAATCAGAAAGGGATATAGTGCTGGACCTGAGAACTACGCATACGATGTCTCTCTGAACGTGCATTTATCAGTTAGGATCACAAAAAAAACAGAGGGGGGTGTGTGTGTGTGTCTGTGTCTGTGTTTCTGTGTGTGTGTGTCTGTGTGTTTGTGTTTGTGTGTGTCTGTGTGTGTGTGTCTGTGTCTTTGTGTGTGTTTCTGTGTCTGTGTGTTTCTGTGAGTGTGTCTGTGTGTGTGTCTGTGTCTCTGTGTGTGTGTCTGTGTGTGTGTGTGTCTGTCTGCTGTGTGTGTCTGTCTGTGTGTGTGTGTGTGTTTCCCCCAAGGACTTGGCTTACATGATTGTTGGGGTGGCATGTTGGAACCTGTAGGCTGGAAACTCAGACAGGAGTTAATACTCCAGTCTTGAGGAAGACGAGCATAGCTCAGCTTTTGCAGTTAAGTCCTTTGGTTTGGTCAAAGGCCATTCTCAGTACTGACAGTTATCTCCTTTATTTAAAGTCAGCTGATTGTAGGTGTTAGCCGCATCTGTAAAACACCTTCAGCGAAACCTGGGTTACTGTTTGATTACATAACTGGGTACTGCCATCTGACCAAACTGACACACAAAACTGTACTATCTGCAAGCAAAACAGATTTTTAAGCATCACCGTATTGCTGACACTGCTGGATGTGGGGAGTGGGGTTGCTTGAGAAGGAGATTCTTGAAAGATTTCTGAAGTGCAGGTGATGGAAAATGGAAATTTTATAAATAGTCTTTAAGTGGAAAATATTACAGGTTTACCTTAATTTAATATGTTGTTTTAATTGTTTATGTTTATAAACCTAAAGATATTTCTAATGCCCTTAACTGTTTTTCTGGGCTTCCCTGGTGGCTCAGATGGTAAAGTGTCTGCCTGTAATGTGGGAGACCTGGGTTTGATCCCTGCGTTGGGAAGATCCCCTGGAGAAGGAAATGGCAACCCACTCCAGTTTTCTTGCCTGGGAAATTCCATGAATGGAGGAGCCTGGTAGGCTATAGTCCATGGGGTCACAAAGAGTCTGACACGACTGAGCAACTTCACTGGGTTTCTGTTTTTCTATAAGGTCTTAACGTTCTTAGCAATTAATTTTCTTTTCCATAAAGATTTTCAAAAATTGAACATTTATGTGACAAAATAACTTCAATAAGCCATAAATGATAAAAACATCAATTATTAAAGGGGTCATTAATGACTTTTGATATTTGTTTTATTGTCTCAAAGTTTTAATGTAGTGGTCAGGTTAATATCTTGCACAGCTGGTAATGCTAAGCAGATAATGATTATCATTTTTACTTTGAAAAAGAAGTCTTCCATGTGGGAAACTTACAGAGGCTGTCAGTGGTACAGCAGACCTTATCTTTGCATTATGTAATCCTGTGGTTCTGTGGTATCTTTATTGTTCGTTTTTACATACCAATAATATACCCAGTTCTCTCACTTTTCTACCCGAAGGGCTACTGATTATAAAATCATCCTATGTTCAGGTAGTGTTACACTCACGTAATGATCGCTGTTCTCCATTTTCTTTTACTTTTTATTTTACGCCTGTTTTGATTGAACAATATTTGTACTTGTGACCCAGTTCAGAAGGGTACTGGTGAAGTCTCCCTGTCCCCCACAAGCCCTCTCTTCTCACCTAAGAGCTTGGATTCCTTTAGTCCAGGCTTCACTTGCCTCTCCCTCCTGGACTCCTTGCTTCCGAGTCTGCTCTTCAGGATGCCTTGTTGCTGGGCTCTGCGCTGCTGGGCGGGGCAGAGGACTCTCTCAGTGTTATAACTTCTTGGGGGAGCATTTGAAAAACAATCAGCAATCTGAAAAAACAATCTGAACTGCAGCAGAGGTTTGCTGCTTGCTAGCTTTAGTTCTGTTCCTTGTTGTGTTAATGGAGAAAACAGTTTTCTAGCCTTGAGATGTATTCTTCAAGTCCATTTTTGCTCTTTGAGCTTTGGAGCTGCCAGGATTCAGAGGGTGCACAGAGAAAGGAGGATGACTGGTTCTACTGCAGTCTTCCCCTCTTGGAACCCTTTGAACCCTCTCAAAGGGAGATAGTGGGCCTTCCCTCCTCTGGTGGGCAAATTGGGACCAGTTACTTAAGTCATTTCTAACAGTGGAAAAGAATATGCCTACCAGCGCAGGAGATGCGGGTTCAGTCCATGGGTTGGGAAGATCCCCTGGAAAAGGGAATGGTAACCCCCTCCAGTATTCTTATGTGGGAAATCCCATGGACAGAGGAGCCTGGCAGACCCAGTCTCTGAGGTCACAAGAGTCAGACACAACTTAGTGACTAAATACACATAGTATACCCCGTAACTCTAGAGTGAGCCACTCACAGCTCTCATGTGTGGTCCTTCTCAAGCCAGTGGTTGCCTGTGTTGTGGTTATGGAGCATGAGCCAGGTAGTGCTGTGGTGTCTGCAAAATGACGCTGTCCAAGAGGGCGCGTGGCATGATTCCTCTTTGTCAGTTTATATTTTGGTTATGCTGCCCATAGTTGTGGTGGACAAGTCCAAGGGCCCCTAGGTGGGCATTTCACAGCAGAAATCCTGGAGGTACTGGTGAGGGTTGTGCTTACTGGTGTGCGTGAGTCCCTGTTATTGTGGGCCAGGTGTAGAGGGGCCTGAAGGTTTCGGTGGGGAGCACTGACTTTGCTGCAGCCTCCCCGCTCCCTGCTGAGGGGCAGCTTGGTGCTCACCGATGCCTGCTGCTTCAGAGCATTCACCGGCACCTCAGCCTCCCTTTGTGTTGGCCACCAGGATTTGAGATTGGGGTCTTAAGAGACTGTCTTCTCTGTCCTTATATCTCCTTGATACCTCAGGCTTTTCTTTTGAAATTAACTGCATCAGCAAAGGAATTCTGGATTTCTGGGCCAATTATAGAGCTTGAAGTTAGAAACCAGTGCTCCACCATAAATGCTTCTCATTGTTCGTTTGTGGAATGTGTGCAGTTGTCTGTATTGTAGTCTGTTCTTTCCTTAAGTAGAAGTCTTTCTGCATACTTTTTCCCAGGTGGTTTGGAGTCTGAGATACATTTTCTTCTGTTATCTACCTGCTCAGACTTGATCTAAGACCAAAATCCATTGAAGTAATTGAGAGTTTGCTCAAACTCTCAATAATCTTTACTTTTAAATCTCCAGGTTCGTCTCTTTGTATAATATTTTCTTCAGTATTTCAAACTACAGCTCGAATACCTTTTCTCCAGGCTCTGTGTCTCATTCTAGCGCATATCTTTAAGTGTTGGTACCTTTATATTGTGTGGGCTTTACTAGTGGCTCAGTGGTAAAGAATCCACAGGAGATGTGGGTTTGATTTCTGGGTCAGGAAGATCCCCTGGAGAAGGAAATGGCCACCCACTCCAGTATTCTGGTCTGGGAGAACCCATGGACAGAAGGAGCCTGGTGGGCCACAGTCCATGGGGTCGCAAAAGAGTCAGGCACAACATAGTGACTAAACATAAACCACCTATAGATTACAACACAGACTGTGCATTTCACTGCTGCCTGCCCAGCCTGTGATTCGGGTATTCCACAGTGGCTGTTGACCAATCCAGTGTCTTCTTGAAGCCTCCAAATGGCTCTGCTCTGTTGGCAGGACATTTTATCTTCGCTTCTTTTCCCGGGGCATCCTCTTGCATTGTCTGCAAGGGATTTTTTTGTGTGTAGAAACTGGCCTGGTAAGTTCTCAGAGCTTGGCCTTGTTCTGATGGTTCCAGTTGAGTCATTTATTCCCAAACTCTCCATCTATTCTGAGATCACAGAGTTCTCAGCCCCATTATTCTCTTTCTCTCCCTCTCGGGGTGGGTTTGTTCTCTGCTCAGTCTTTGAACAATTCCACTGAGGTGGTGTGACCTGAGCCAGGTTGAACCAGGATGCCACGCCCCGGGGTTCAGTA